ATTACACAGTGGTTAAACCAATGGAAAAGAAGACCGGATTCTAAATGGAGAACATTGCACGATTGTAAGGGAACTTGCAAACACCTGTTTATAACGAGAGGCTGCAAATGTGTTTACCACTTCCTGGTATTTGGGCACAAAGCTCAGTTTGACTTGCCAGTGGGTATAAATGATCTATGAGTTCTCTACTTTTCCCCAGTTAGCCCACTGGGCCTCCTGTAAGCTTACCTACTTGAGTTTATACAGCCAGTGGGAGTGTAAAATTGCAGTGTTCTCTTATAAATCAAAACCTAGTATATTAAAGAGATTTTATGTTGCAAAACAGGTAAGGGATAATCGAATGACAAGATAAAATTTAACTTGAAAAACATTTTGTAACATGTTCTTTCAATATCAAATTTCCTTAAAGCATTTAATTATTTTATAACTTAGAAAAGCTTAAAGTTTACCTCCAAGAACTCAAAACTTAAGGGTTCTCTCCATGTAAATACAAATTAAAAATTACTGTAAAACAGGGCTGAAACGTTGAATAACAGTAAGAAATCATTTGCCCAAAAAAAGTAATTTGCAAACAAACTTTCCCTCAGGGATGCATCTTCCACCCCAAGTGAGATCTCCTTGTAAAATAGACCCTAAAAGCTCCTGAAGTGCATTTTCAGCTTGTCTATAGAAAGGCCAGGACCAATTCAGAGAGGAAATGCCTGGGATTCTGTTTGGTGTCACAATGCATGGAGTTAAGATAACAAACTGCCTCTGGCTTCTTTCAGGGCAACAAAACAAACTCAAATTGTCTCCAGGGCTATAAATCCAGTGAACGGTATGGTAGACCTGAGCCAGGAGAAAGGGAACTGGGGCAAATGTTTTTTTAATGTTTGCCTTTGGGCAGGATGGGTTTTTTTTGTTGTTGTTTTTTTGTTTTTTACTAGTTTACTATTTCTAATAAATATGAAATACTCTTTGTTTTTGTGAACTGTTTTGGTTTTGGCTCCCACTGGGAAACACAACATATCAGAATATTTTTGGCTAGAGTCGCATACAAAGAGAGCTGTGAGTAGAGCAGAGGAAAGGTGGGTGGTTGAAATAACATTGTGGAGCTATTAAGTTTGACGATGCTGCACCTCCCGGTGGGACAACCATACATGGATTGACATGAGTTTAGCATATGCTCCTCGTTGTTCCAAATTGCACATGGAGGTTTAAACTCTTTAAAAGGATCAGGTTATGGCATTCATGCCCCAGATTTAGTTGCTGTTGGAGATAGGGCAATCATGATAGGACAAGTGGCTGAGGTTCACCTAGGTGCTACGCAAAGAGCAGCTCAAGCAGAAAAAATAAAGTCAGCTCTGAGAATCCATAAGCAGCAGCAGACTGGGGCAAGTGGAGTCATTATGCCTCTTAACAAGTTGATGTGTAGCAAACTAATAATTTCATAATAAAGCCAAGGCTAAGAATCAGCTAATAAATGGGGCCAGTACTTTTATCACTCTCTGATTAAGAAGAGACAAGCAGTGCTTAATGATAGGACTCTTCATCCCTCCCCCATTTTATTTATGCCAGTTTACATGGAGGCAGATCCCTGTAGGTTCCTGCAGTCTTAAAAATCTATGCCTAAGGCTTTGAATTAATTGCTGTCCAAGCAAGTGTTACCAAATTACTTCTTAGTAAGAGTATACTCTGAAGGCAAAACAAAGCACCTCCTTGAGTATTGGCCTCAAAACACCTGAATTTATGACAAAGGGAAAATCTGAGACAAAAGCAAACATGGTGGGCTGATAAGGCGCCTCCTGAGTCAACTTGGCAGGAATGGGTTAATCTCTACCTGAAGCTCTTTTGAGGGGCTTTGACTTGATGCTGAGAGCCCTCTGTTTCCTAGGAAGGGAGCAAGTTAAAGATGGTCTTTCAGAAAGTTCAGTATATTAATATACAAGCAACTTCATTCGCCTGTCTTTCCCTTCCTAATTTACAGCCATCTATGACTGGTTTATAGGGGTTTTCAAAAGATGTGATTAGCTTTCCTTGCAGGAAACTTGTAAAGGGTTTCAGGGTAATGATGTGTCAGCTACGAACTCATTCAGCTAATCTGAAGAAAAGTTTTAAGAGCAGGAAGGAGACAGATTCAGAGGTGCTGACTTGTGAAACACGACAGTGAGTGCATTTCTAGCTTAAAAGAGCCAAAATTCAAGTTCCTAATCATGTAAAGGAAAGGAGGTAATGATGAGCAGAAAGGGAAGAAACTGAACAACAAAACATTCACTTATTTGTGCCATCCACACCAGAGGTCCTCCTTGCTCATCCAAATTAGGAAAGTGTTTGATGCAGTTGCATACAGAGCTTGCAGGAACATGGCTAGCAGCCCGTGACTCGAGGATGTGAGGTGGAAGAAGAGGCTGACAATGTTTGACTAGGAGCCACATGAGCACAATAGAGTGGGTAGAGAGCAGCAAAGAGCTACCCTTGAAATTCACCGCTGGGTTATTTTCATTAATACATTCACTTACTCCTTGTGGCTATGTAGCACCTATTAGAGACAAGGCATTCTGAGACCACAGTTACAACAGATCTGTCCTCAGCAGCATATAACTAAGTGTTCCAGTTATTACTGGTGTTGCAGAACAAATTATCCTGAACTTAGTGGTGAAAGACAGCAATCTGTGATGCTCATGGGTTACATGAGTCAGGAATTCACTTAGGGCACAGTAAGGATGGCTTGTCTCTGCATCGTGATGTCTGGGAGCCTCAGTTGGAAGACTCAAAGACTGGTGGCTGGAATCATCTGCAACTTGTCTACCTACTCATTTGTTTGATGGTTGGTGGTGGCTGTCGGCTGAAACATCAGTTGGGGAATTGGCCAGAATTTCTACATTTGTCTCTTCGTGTGATCTCAGCTTTCTCACAGCATGTAGTTGGGTTCCAAAGCTGAGTGCCTAAGAGGATGAGCTAGGCAGAAGCTGTATCTTTGTGACCTTGCCTCAGAAGTCACACAGATATCATCAATTCCACTACATTCCATTGGTCAGGACCATCACTAACCTTGCTGAAATTCAAGGAGAGGGAACATCAACCCCAAATATCAGTGTAGGAATGCCAATGAATGAATTTTCAATGAATGAAAAGCAGCTCTGTGTATGGATGTTTATATATGTACATGTATGTGTATATATATATACATGTATAAAATCATCTATCACAGAGTGAAAAAAATTATCACAGCATAAAGTAAAAATATTGTGATGATTTTGTAAGCCATGGTCCAAAGAATCGTACAAATGGAAATATACTAGCAATAACAAAGCAAAGAACCACCTGAGCACTATGTTTCACAAATGTAAATTGTACATGTCATGTCTATTATTATTTTACCATCTCTCCTACTGTTCCCTTCATTTTTTAAAATTTTTTTTAATTTTTTTTTAAGTTTTATTTATTTATGATAGAGAGAGAGAGGTAGAGACACAGGCAGAGGGAGAAGCAGGCTCCATGCACCGGGAGCCCGACGTGGGATTCGATCCCGGCTCTCCAGGATCGCGCCCTAGGCCAAAGGCAGGCGCCAAACCGCTGCGCCACCCAGGGATCCCCCTTCATTTTTTTTTAAATTGACCATTCTTACAAACAGAGGGTTGTGGAAGGGGAGGCGAATGGGGGGGGGGTGAGGTGAGTGGATGACTAAGGAGAGCACTTGATGGGATGAGCACTGAGTGTTATACTATATGTTGGCAAGTTGAATTTAAATGAAAAAATCTAATAAAAATAAATAAATTGATCGTTTTTGAACAAATTTTTTAAAACGAACTAGATATTACTAAAAATTTTATTTTTTACCATAATTTATTTACCGTAAAACAAAATTAACCTTAAATATAACTAATATAAAATTGAACAGTTGTTAGGTTTGTTGCTTTCTGATGAAGATCGTAAGACTGAAGCAAGCCCTCATTGTCAAAAATGTTAGCAGGTGTTTGAAAGATATTAAATCACAGTCAAACAAAATTGGGACTGTCTTCTTCCCTTAACCTGAAAGACTGAAAGAGAAGTAAAAGCAAATGATCTCTAATGAGAAGGTCAGTGATATTTAAGGCCAGGTCTATGTGCCAGCCAACATCCTTTAAAGAATTTTTGATTTTATAATCCTATTTGTTGACAAACACTGACCTGGAATGATTAAAAAAATTATAAATAAGCTTTCATCTTGCGTCAGCCAAGTTGCTGGGATCCATGAGGAAGACCAGCATCTGGCACAGAGCTGATGCATGTTAATTAATGAATGAATTTGTAACCTGCCATCTGTCAAAGGCTGGGTCCTCTGCACCTCTGTTTTGTTTTGTTTCATAAACCTCTCCTGAAAGATCTAGTAAGCAATAAAAGGCCTTGATGAGTTGGCTTCTACATCAGGTTTAGCCACCCCGTTATCTGATTACCATTCTCCACGGGCTGATGGAATTGACTTTTTTGCTTCCCCTCTATGGCATAAATAATTCCTAGACTTTACAGGACCACTCCCAGGCCATCTTACACTCTTTAGTATGTAGGTATCTAAATCCAACAACATTCATTCCTAAAATAATTATTAGCACCTGTCAGGGCTGCTGTTGCACTAGACCCTAGAGGTCTCAGAGGAGGAGAAATGGACACTTTCTTACAGTACAGAGAATGGCCACTGGGGGGCAGCTATTTCACCCCTAAAATTTAATTAATTGCTTAGCAACAGCATTGTCTTGTTGTTGAAGTATTTGTCAGAAAACACTACTTCCTGGGGATTTTTTGCTGGTAGAGATGATAACTTGAGAAAAAGTATAATTTTTATGGTCTTTTCCACCTAGACCTTTTTTTCTGGTTTTCAGGGGTATGGAGAAGGTCTGTAGAGGTTAGGAGAAAAACAGCCAGATCCTTATCTTCAAGGATTCCAGCTGGTAGCCTTGACCACACACACTAGGACTTCTAACAGTAGTACCTTTCGAGACGTGGTACTGGCATTCACAGACCTTTTCCTTCTTCATTTATAGTCGGCTACGGTGAAGCTGTCAAAACCAGTGGCTCTGTGGACTCAGCAGGATGTCTGCAAGTGGTTGAAGAAACATTGTCCGAATCAGTATCAGATCTACAGTGAGTCATTCAAACAGCATGACATTACTGGTAAAGTATGCGGTATCCAAAATATTTTCTTCCCTCTTCCTCTCCCCATCACGGTGGCCTTTCCCATACCCTTACAATAAAATGCCTCTCCTTGCTGAAATTTTCTGGCATGGGTTTACTTTAAAAGGGGAGGATGGATTGCAGATCCGTGCAAGCTATGCTGCTTAATAAGCATAAGCAGCTACAGAGAAGCATAGTTTCTGACTGTCCAGGACAAGTATGTGGAAATCAGGGTAAGGGGTTGGGAAACTCTAGAGAAAATGAGTGTGTACCAATCCTAGAGGAAAAAAAGAAAAAGTCATTCAAATTAGCTGGGTTACAGGATCAGTATTAAATGTTCTAAGTAGGAAAGATATCAAAATAGGAAAATTCTGAAGTGAATATAACACTTACTGTCCCTGAGATGAATATCTTCAAAACAAAAATGAAGATTCCATTTAGATCCAAAGGGCTTTGAATATTATATGTAGAGATCAAGAAGCCCTTAGAAACTATGGGCACCTGGTGGCTCAGTGGTTGAGCATCTGCCTTTGGCTCAGGCCATGATCCCAGGGTCCTGGGATCGAGTCCCACATCAGGCTCCGCACAGGGAGTCTGCTTCCTCCTCTGCTTATGTCTTTCCCTCACCTCTCTCTGTATTTCTCATGAGTAAATAAAATCTTTAAAAAAAAAAAAAGAAAGAAAACAAACAATGACAGTATAATGAACTGCAGAAGCCCTTAGGATCATGTCTCTCCGTTGAGAACAGAGCAGGCGAGCAGGAGCATTGGGGCCACGATGGAAGCCCATCCAAGTCAGGGACGTTTTCCCCAGACCTCACCTGCGCTCCTGCCCTGAGGGTCTGCATGGATATGGGTAGCATCCTCCCTCCACTTTTGCAAGCACCATAATGAAAAATACGACTAAAGAACATGCTCTGTGCACCAAAACTGTGCTTTAGAGGGAAAACATACTGGGAAGTCCTGATTCTAGTCCAGATTTTTTTCTAAGAAAAAACTGTTATTCTTAGTGGGCAAGTGACTTGCTCTTGAGTAGCCCAGCACTATGGATGCCAAGCCTCTTTCCAAAATGGGTGGTTTTCATAGTGTGTTCCTTGGGTACGCTAAAGATTGCCAGAGAGACAGGGGGGATATGCTTTGGGTGGAGATGGGTGTGTCAACTAAAGCAGCTCCCTTTATGCCTGTTTGACATATTTGAATTGTACAAAAAAAAAAAAAAAAAAAAACCTTTGGAAAAAAAGGATTCTAATTCAAAAGAACAGTGAGTTAAGTTTATCGTAGATTCCCTGCTGACAAAATTGGTAGTGTTTTAATATGTAAGGAACACACTCAACTGTAGCTCAAGATGAGTTAACAGAGCATGAAATCCTCATAACTTAAGTCTTAAAATTGTCCTGAACACACTTTGCTTCCCCTACACCAACTAAAATAATGGCTTTTTAGATGAAATTCCTAAAATTGTGAAGGCAGTGTCAGAACTTAGTTTAGATTCCAAGTGTTTAATTTCTTTTCTTGGTCTCTCCCTAAAGAATATAAGAAAATCCCATACAGGGTGTGTTATTCCACCCCTAAAAGCAATCAATCAGTTAGTCACCATTTGGCTGATTATGGTCGCCTTCATCTGATAATGTGTACTTAATGTTTCTTAATGCCTGTGTGATAGAATAATGGCAAAAGCTTTTTTGTGATCTTATTTGAAAGTAGTGTTCTCTTTATTATGAACGGGAATTGTGAGATGCCCTTGAGGGAAGGGTAGGTATTTATCCTGGTTTGTAGAGGATGAGTATGACATCCCGTAGAAATAAAGGTCTTATGCTGCAGTGCTCGGAGTCCATGGTACCACTTCCCAAGGCTTTCTGCTAAGTGATATGAAGGAAGAGGCTGTGGGCCTGAGATACGTGTTTTGAACAGCCGTCATATTGCTTTTGATGGCCCATTTGGTCGCCAAGTACCACCACAGATATAGGTACATCACAACCTTCTTGGAATCTTAGGCAAGCTGCTTCAGCTGAATAAGTTACCCAATCTCACTGCTCATCTCCAAAACAAAGATAATAATAGTACCTGTCCCCAAGAGTTGTTGTGAAGATTACAATGAAATAATATTAAGTGACCCACTAATTTGACCATTTATTGACACTTTCTACATGCTAGCATTTTGCCATTATTCATGTCAAGACTCATCTGATGGTGTCTGAAAACACTATTCATTCTAAGAGGGCAGCCTGCTTTCAGGAAAGAAAAGAAAGCAGAATAGTTTTGGGGGTTTAGGGAACAGAGAGGAGGATTTCACATTAACATTTGACCTACATCTTTGTCATTCAGCTATCTGAGGCCTTGGAAAACCACTCTCTTCCCCTGTCCTCTGGCCCCTGCCTCTCCAAGGGTGAAGGTGAAATACCCAGGTGATCACAAGTGCCAAGTGGCCAGAGAATAGAACTCCAGCCTGCAGTTACCAGCTGCAAGATGCTGGAAGCCGTGAGGGTCTCTGTACCCTTGGAGGCTAGGCTGTGAAAAACAGGGCAAAGAGGCTTGTGAAAAATTAAGATCTGTGGTGACAGAGCAAACTTCACCCACCCCTGGAAAACAGTGGAGGGCTGAGGGTGGTGACAAAGGCCAGGCTGAAGCCCAGAGCTGTAGCTTCATTGTGTGATTTTGTGAAGGTTGCTAGTGCCCTTCAGCTTTCTTTATTTGCAGAAAGGAGATGGTACCTGCCTCATGGTGTTGCTGTGAAAGTAGTTCATGGTCCTAGGAAGCATGAAGATCTCCTAAGTGCTATTCTGATCTCTAGGAAAACAAACAACACATATAAACAGTGTTGAATTCATCTATCTTTATTATCCTGAAAATTGGGAAATGAGCACCCAGGTGGAGTGGAGGAGTAGAGGTAGTCTGGGCTGGTAAATAGCCTGTGCTTATCTGCAAGGTTGCAAAAAAGATGTTGATGAGTCTCTTACTTTATGCTTAGATTCTCTTGAGTGTTGCTGTTCATTTATTTTTCTCAAAGCGTGAAACTCCAATATCGTGCTCATCAAGCAAGTGTGTTTGTTATACCAGTGTAACCTATAAACAATCCCTTAATTTAGAGGCAGATGGTACAGTGATGGCAAATAAAAAGAACATATATTAAACGGAGAGAGGGGAAAAGGGCTTTCACAGACCTGAGTTGTCTTCCCTTGTCCTCCACCCCCAACCTTTGACAAGTAATAGCTATACCACATCACACAAGTTATTTTTTCATTAGTGAAATGAGAATAATTATTTTAAAGGGTGGTGTTGGGAGAGTAAATGGAAGGATGTATGTGAAGGGCCTAGCTTAATTCCTGATACATAGTAGAGATTTATCCATTTAGTGAGTATTTATGGAGTATTACCCTGTACCGGGGGAATACAGCAATAAATAAGATGGTCAGCGATCTGTGCATGGAAAAAATGATGCTTCTGTGAAAAGCTATGCATCATCAATAGCACACCATTTGGGGCTATCTAATTCCACGAAACTGTTTTTACAACTCTGTGAGTTGTAGATAACTGATAGCAATACAAAATAATCCTTGTTGTAGGTGTGTAAATTCTGTCCCCCAGAGGTTCAATTGGCTTTTCTTGCCATTGTGGAAAGGGTGAATTTTGCCTGCCATTTATATGTTCATTTTACTCTCTGATCTATTGGCTGTTTCTTTTTTGGATTCTCCTTTGTAATGTCCTGGTTTTACTTCTTCTTGATTTCTTCTTATAACGAGTTTAAAAAAAAAAAAAAAAACTTAAATGTATTCATTTTTCTATCTGATGAGTCCAAATTTTAACCTTTTTTTTTTTGAAAATTTTCCTGCTTTAACATCAGTAGCTTAATTTTTTTTATGTTTTAGCCAGCAAATCCACTATATTAACCTTTTTTATGCCTCCTTTTGAAGGACATTAAATTCTACACAAACATTCCCATTTTCTCCAAAGTCAAAAAAACTTAAGATATGTTTCAATATATGACCATTCAAAACCTATTGCAAATTTCCTATTAGAATTTCTGAGACTTTCATTGTGTCCAGAAGGCACCTGCTATTTTGTGGCAGATGTGTTTAATCAGAAGAGAAGCTACTAGTATTACCTCCCTGTAGAAGCTCTCTTAAAAGGCATAGGATGGCGAGAACACCTGAGAGGCATTAGGATAGATAGATTTAAATCATCAGATTAGGCTTGAAGGAAAGAAATTTGTCTATTTTCCTGTGCTTGCAAGATTCTCTCTCCAGCTTTCTGAGGCCGGCTTGGAATGTTGATGAGGAAGCTCTACTGGGGCCAGGTGTAAGCTCACAGGCAACTTTCAGATTCTCTTTTATGCACAGTTAAGAATATTTTCAGGTTTGAGGCGATTTCAGCCCCTGGCTGTGCCTTGTGTTGTTCCTATGGCTGCTATGCTAAAGTGAGTTTACCTCCTTCAGCATTGAGTTCTCCATCTGGAAAGGGTTCTTACCCCTGCCAACTTGAAAGACTTATTTTTATGGGTGAAGCACTCAGAGTTCCCCAGAATATAAAATATTTTTAAAAGCCATTTTGAACATGTAAAAGGTTTCCATGTAGTCTTATTTGTGGCCCAGCAATGGGAATTCTTTTTTTTTTTTTTTTTTTAAATTTTTATTTATTTATGATAGTCACAGAGAGAGAGAGAGAGAGAGAGAGAGAGGCACAGAGACATAGAGGGAGAAGCAGGCTCCATGCACCGGGAGCCCGATGTGGGATTCGATCCTAGGTCTCCAGGATCGCGCCCTGGGCCAAAGGCAGGCGCCAAACCGCTGCGCCACCCAGGGATCCCTGGGAATTCTTTAGATGTCCAGATGTCTGCAGGAATAAATACTTATCATATGAATATCCCCTGCAAATGGTCAGTATTGATTTGTAGTATTTCCCAGTGGACTCCTGCAAAATAAATGAGTATTTCTGATTCTTTTTGTGCTCCAACCACCCTCCGTACCTCATTCCCCTTTTTAAAATATTCTACTGAGATGTAGC